GGGCGCGCGTGGATATTGCTGTTGGTTTAGTGGGAAACCTGCGGGGCCTTAAAAACTGCTTAGCTTTAAATGTTTTGAGCTACGATTTAAATCGGTGTGAAAGCCCGGGGAGCACGTTATAGCGGAAGCTGTGAGAACGCCGTGCGGTTCTGGTCACACCGCCGGCCGCAAAACGTAGGGACCGACTTCAACCTTTGCATGTTAACACCCACCGTGGGAGAGAATTCATCTCCATTTTGCAATGTCGAAGCTTAACGGTGCAGAGGGATGTTTGCCTGACTTGATGACCGTTTACTTTTCCCACCAGAAATGTTGTAGGATAAATTCTGTCAGCCTTTTGGACAGGAAGCAAAGGGGCGGCTTGCCAAGCCGCCCGAACCCGTGTGTCTCAGCATTAGCAAACTGGCTGCTGGGGCTGCCAGCCGTCGAGCTGGGGGCCGTGTATGGCTCCGAGCGGTCCCGTAGCGTGGCCGAGGTTGTTTCGACTGAAGGCGGAGAGAGACCCAAGCAACCCCCTGCAAGTGGAGGGGATTTGGTGAGTTACCAGGGAGCTACCTCGGGGGGGGGGGGGGGGGTGAGGGTGGGAATTGAATTGCCTAACAAAATGTCCACGGTGGAAAGCTTTATTAGCATTTTTGGCCTATTCGTGTGGGACTGCTGCTTGGTGCGTCTCAGCTGACAGCTCACCCGATCCCCTAGAGAACAGGTTACCCAGGAGTGGGTGGCAGAGCAAGGCACCTTCCCCGACGCTTGCAGGCAGTCCTGGGTGGGCTGGGGTTGCCCCACGGAGGGTCCTGCGGGACAAACCCTGCTCCTGTGTCTTTCTTGCTGGCACTCAGCCCCATCCCTGGGTTACTCCTAGCATCAAACTACCTCTCATACAGAGGCTGGCGAGTCGGTACCTGTCCTCAGGCAACCGCTGATCTGAGCAAGAGAGGGCCGAGGCGTCGATCCGGGCAGGGGGAAGGCCACCCTCCCCGCTGTAATTCCCTCTCCCCCCTCCCCAGAAGCCCTTTGGGGCTCAGCTCTTACCGCTCCCGTTTGCAGGACCTTGTTCTCCTCTCTTGCCCATGCCCTGCTCAGCCCAGCTATCGTGCTGCCTCGCTGGCACGTTTCTGATGGCAAATGGTGAGCCTAGGGACCTGTTAAAAAGCCAGCAAGCTGTCCTTTCTCTGCCCTTTGAGGGTGGCTGTAGCAGATGCTTTCTGGTGCTTCCCAGCCTTCGCGAGCGTTGGTAAAAGAAAAAATTGACAGCTGTCTGCAGTTTGCTCCCTTTGTGCTGTCACTCCAGTCCCTTCTAAACTTAAGCAGAAACTGAATTATTTCGTACTTTCAAAAGCCAAGGCAGTCCTTCTGTGATGGATGGAAATAAACCCCAGGGAGTCAAAGCCCGGAGACTAGCTCTGGAAAGGTAAGACCCAGCCGTGTGGCAGACAAGATGCCAGAGGTTGTGGGCATACCGATGTGCCACAGGTAGTTGGAATTCAATTATTTCTTGTTGATTGCCCTGTGATTTCTCCTTAGGTCTGTGCGGGCGGTGGAGGTCGCAGCCCCTCCCTCTTCCCTCCTTCCCACGAGCGGCGGGTCCCAGCTCCGCGCCCAGGCCTGGCTTTGGCAAACCTGGCTCTGCTCTGCATGACTCGAAGGGCTTTGCTGCGCTGAGGTAGATGCTGACGCACGTACTGGTGCTTTGCTGAATAAGGCACCCCCGTGGTTTTCCAGATGTCACTGCTTTCTCTCCACCCCACGCTTTATTCTGCTGGAGGAACAACCTGGTTCTGCTCCCTCGGGTTTCCGACGGGCAGACCTGCTGCTGCTGGAGTGAAGTTCTTAACCCTCCGTACCTGCGCACTCCCACTTCTCTAACGTGCAGGCTTAGTCTTGGTTTTTTAAATAGTTGATCTGCTCGAAGGGGTGTTTTGGGGTGTCACTAAATCCATACCCCGTGTTGGGCGCAGCCTGCTCAACGGGGGTGGCACTGAGCGCTCCCCTTACAACAGGCAGTAGCGCTCGCTTTTGCAGCGTGGTGCTGTCAAGGGCATAGCGAGAGCTACCGCCGTCTTCCTCGTGCGCAAAGGGTTTCGGTCTGCTTGGACAGCCTTGCACGGGTCCAGCTGGAAATCCTGACGGTGTGCAGCAACACCTGAGCAAGTCAGGTGGTAGTTTGCCAGGCACAGCGCGTAGCAGAGCTGTGCATGTTCGTCTGAGCTGAATTCATTCTCGGTATAAACTGACAAATCGTCTCAAAGTCGGTGAAGCCCTGCCCCTTTGTACAAGAAAAGAGTCCAGCTGAATGCTGCAGGTTACATTTAGGATAATTCCATCTGCTTTTTCCTACTCCGGGACTAATCCTCAGCAATAAGGATCCTCCAGGTGTAGATGTGATGCATCCTAAGGGTGCCTCGGTAGTTCGAGTCAAATGCAGCTCGTGCTGCTGAAGGAGATTTGAGGGAAAAGTGAAACGGTGTTTGCCTTGGGAGCGCGTGGTGTGCTGTCCGGGTGGGGGTGCAGCAGGGACAGGCAGAGTCTCCAGGCCTGTTTTCCACGTTTTGGCTGGCTCAGGGGTGGGGAAACGCCCACGAGTGCCGCGGTGTGGGCACAGCAGCTCTTGAAGCTTTGCAGCCTGCACATCCTTCAACGAGCAGGGGCTGAGGCGATGGGGTCGGGATTTACAGGGGAATCTAGAAACACTCGTCGTAAACCTCTGCCCTGTGGTACCTGTCCAGCAGGGCAAAAAGAGTTCAAGCTCTGCCCTGGGATTAACCGTGGGCTACTGGTAAAACCAAACTGGGCTACTGAAAGGCAACCAGCCCATGTGGGAATTAACACGTGCCCAGATGGGCCTCGGGGGCCGCTCCTAAACACTGTCGTGGAGCTGTCAGTGGGTCCTGTCTCCTCCCCGTTTCTCTGGTGTTTGTGTGTTTTGGTTTGGTTTGTTGTTTTTTTTTTTTTTATCCCCACAGCACTAATTCTTCTCAGTATTTTCACAGTGATGCCTGCACTGTCACCCCGGTGTGCACTTGGTGCAGCTGGTCGTACGGTCAGGTCCCTGACTGCAGATTCTACATCTCGATCCTGAATTTTTGTTTTCTTTTCTAGATCCTGTGGCTGGAGTAGACTGGCTAAATGAGGCAGCTCCTCTGTTCTCCACCGTGGCCTCCCGCCACGGCTGCATCTGTCTACGACAGCACTTGGACCTTGTTCCTTGCAGAAGCTGAAGGAGTCGTGTTCGGAAAAAATTAATTTAATGAATTTTTTTGCTCTTGTTACCCTCTCAGCACTTGTCTCCCTGATCTTAATAAAGCCCAGCCTCTTAAGGAAGCAAGCTGTTTTCCTTCCAGCCTGGAGGAAGGCAGGGGATACGGTTAATTCCAGTTCTGTGTCCTTCGGGTGGGGACAGCGCTCAAACTCTGCCCCTGCACCAGCATTTTTGCCCAGTTTCTGTCTGGGTCTGAAGTTGGAAGAAAGGAAACGGTGCCTGGGAGAGGACGGGAGATGATCCCTCTGTCCCCACCGGGTAGAGTTGCTGGCAGTTGCCTTGAATAATCATCTGTTTTCTCTTCCCAGGCTTCCTTCCCTGCAGTGCCAAGAAAACGGAGTCCTGCTCGGCGCGCTGGGTTTGCAGTGCTGAGCCCCTGCACCGTGGGGGTGGCCCGTGCCCCCCAGGGCGGTAGGTTCCCTCTTCCACGGGGAAGGAAGCGGAACGATTAAAACTTCGTTAAAGAGATCGGAACGGAGCGCTTTGGCAAACTTTAAAAGAAGCCCGATGTAAAGCCTTGCACCGTTCTCTGCCTAACTCCATTCAGGTTCCTTTAGCCGCCGGAGTGACCCGGGGGATCGGCTGGCAGCGAGGGGGGAGCCCTGCGGAAGCGGCTTGGCCGCTCTTCCCTGCGTGAGTGCCGGGCCCGGGGGGGCTCACCCCGAGCTCTCCTCTGCTGCTGGCGGCTCCCAGCGCCCGACGGCCCCGGTATTGGTGCTGCAGCTGGTGTTGTGAATCAGGCCGACGACAAGCGCATCCTACTATCCGGCTATTTCACTACACCAGGGTTGCATCATACCACTCGCTTCGCTCTTCGCCCCGGCGGCTGGAGTTCCTCCTCCCTCACCTGCAGCACCGCTGACGGCGCTGCCTTCAGCGGAGGCACGCGCACACCCGCGTTTCAGAGACTCTGTGATTCGTGCTGGTTCGGGCAAGTTAGCGTTTTTGATGAAATAAGGAGGTTCTAAAATAAAAGCCGTTTCTGCTGGGCGTGAGTCTGCTGCCCCATCTGTTGTTGGGAGAGGAAGCTGGCGTCCTCCTTGCGGGAGGTGCCGGAGTTGAGGCTTTTTCCCCGTCCTCAGCTCGCCCTTCTCCCCGCTCGCAAGGCCGGGCGTGGGGAAGGGCAGCGGCGCTGCCCGGGCGTCGCGGCCGCCGGCGGGAATCCTCTCCCCGGGTGCCCGCCGGGGCTCACCCACCCGTGGGCGGCATCTGCTCCCCCCCACACACACAGTGCGGCGGGGCTGAAGCGCGTCCCCGAAAAGTGGGCTGAAATGGGTGCGGGAGCCCAAAAGGCCGCCGGAGGCAGCAGGGCAGGCAGCCCGAATTTTCCATTAAATTGCAAAGCGCGGGGGGCTGAAATTCAAATGGGCTCTGGTGCTGCCCTCAAGTTTTACTGCCTGTTGTCTTCAGCGATCTTATCTGTAACTGGTTTTAAGAGCGCATGTGACGTGGAGCTGCAGAGGTATAAAAGATGAGTGTGTGTGTGTGTGTGTCTCCCCTCGCCGTCCTCGCCAGCAGCGCTGTGGGTTGTGTGATGTGGGGAAGGGTCTGGGCGGCTTCTTACAGCAGGGGTGGCATCGGGGGGGGGCAGTTTTGGACACTGGGTGCTCAGCAGTTCCCCTGCCCTGGGGTCAGGAGGGGAAGGGGACTGTGGCCACAACCTCTCCGTGTCCCCTCAGCCTCTCCAGCCCCTTTTCCAGCCCCTCGGTGTCAGCTCCCGGGCAGGGGCTTCCCTCCCATCCCGCGATGTCACGCTCCCCATCTCCCCTGGTTTCACCACGAGCTGAAGGGGCTGTTTCCCTCCCTCCCAGCTCAGTGCCGCAGGCAGCAACTCGGAGGCCGGCCAAGATGATTTACGGGATCTGCCGGCTCTGGGGCGGTATCCCAGGGAAGGGTGAGGGTGCGTGGGAGCCTTGCTCCCATTTTCCATAATAAATCCCGTTGGGTACTGAATGTTCCTGGGTCGGGGCCGGAGGCAACCTCAGCGCCGCGTTTCTGTGCCGATCTGGCCTCGGGACTTAATCTCAAATCCGTTATCGCTGCCCCCATCGAGCGCTGGGAGGCAGCGATACCGTTTACGGCGGGTTCGATATCCCTTCCAGCTACTTTTTTTTTTTTTTTTTTTTTTTTTCCCCCCTGACCAGCTCGGGGTGGTTCGAACCGATTCCTTTCCCCCCGTTAGCATCGGCGGTGGGTGGGTGCCGGTCGCCCCGCTCCGGTTTTGCCGGGTATAAAGGCGGTGAGCCCCTCTCCGCCCCGGCCCTTGCCCGGCAGGCACCTGGGCAGGGGCGATGGCCGAGCTGCCCGTCCCGGAGCTGCCCGCCGCCGCCCCGGCCCGCTGCAGCGGCCGCTTCACCATCAGCACCCTCCTGGGCATGGAGGAGGGCGGCTGGGGTCCCTACGCACCCGCCGAGGGGGCCGGCTGCGACAGCCCCCACCCCACCCACCTCTCCGGCAGCACCCTCTGCACCAGGACCTTCGGCTACAACACGCTGGACGTCGTGCCCGCTTACGAGCACTACGCCAACAGCAAAGGGGTGGGCGAGGCCGGGACGGGCAGGCCCTCGCTGGCAGACCTGCACTCCATCCTCAAGGTGAGGTGGGGCTCGGCGGTGCCCCCGGTCCCCGGGGCTTCGTCTCCCGCTTCTCGGGTGCGGCGCCGGGAGAAGCCGGAGGGATGATCCGGCCGTTTCCAGAGCTGGATTCCCCTCCTGCTCCCCCCCCCAGCTTGGGAGGGCTGGCTGGCTGCCTCACCGGCCTTCCCCTCGTCCCCGCAGCCCGACCCGGGTCGCCTCCGCGCGCCGGTGTCCGACCTGCAGCGGGGCAATGGCCTGCCGGAGGCCGGCCCCGAGGAGGCGGCGGGGGAGCCGGGCAGAGCCCCCGCGCCGGAGCCCGTCCGCTTCGGCTGGGTGAAGGGTGTGATGGTGAGTGCCGCTCGTCCCACGGGAAGCATCCTCCTCCCCTCCCAGCGCCCCCCCCCCCCCCCAAGCAGGGGCGGGATGTATTTTCCCTTCATCATCACGTTTTTTCCCAACATATATATATTTTTCGCGAGCATCTGCACTCAGAACAATTCCCCTGCCCTCCGCGGCGGGTTGGTTTTTGCTCGGAGGAGCAGGAGAGCTGGCGTGGCCGCGGCCGTCCCCGGGTGCCTGCCCGCTGAGGGCCGGTCCCCTTCTTTGTCCCCCCCCCCCCCCCCAGATCCGCTGCATGCTGAACATCTGGGGAGTCATCCTCTACCTGCGCTTGCCCTGGATCACGGCCCAGGCGGGAATCGGTGGGTGCCGCGGGCAGGACGGTGGCACCAGTGGCCCAAAACACCGGGATGGGGGTTGGGGTGTGGGTGGCTGCCAGCAGCGTCAAGCGTGGGGCGAGGCTGGGGGGGCCTGTGGGGACACAGGAACGAAGCAGTGTGTGTGTGTGTGTGTGTGTGTGTGTGTGTCCCCAGCCCTGACGTGGCTCATCATCCTGATGTCCGTGACGGTGACCACCATCACCGGCTTGTCCATCTCCGCCATATCCACCAACGGCAAAGTGAAGTCAGGTAGCACATCCCCCCCCCCGCCCCACGGGCCGCCCCGGGGAGGGGGGGGGGTCACCTCCACCCCCCGGGGCTGCCCCGTGGATGTGAACTCCTGGCACGGGCTGTGAGGTGCAGGGGGGATCCCCGAAAACGCGTGGCGGGGGAGGCAGCTGACGCCGCGGGGTGTTCCCGCCGTCTCAGGGGGCACCTACTTCCTCATCTCGCGGAGCCTGGGGCCGGAGCTGGGCGGCTCCATCGGGCTGATCTTCGCCTTCGCCAACGCGGTGGCCGTGGCCATGCACACGGTGGGCTTCGCCGAAACTGTCCGGGACCTGCTGCAGGTGTGAAAGCAACTCCGTGTGTTCCCCGGGCCCCATCCCCTCCTCCTCCTCCTCCTCCTCCATCCCCACCTCCTCCCCGCACACACGCTGCGTTATCAACGTCTGCGTTAATGTTGGGCCACCGATAACCGACCACCAGCTGCTAAAACTCGAGGCGGCCCCGGCGGTTTGGTAAGGGAAAGGGTTATTTTCGCGTCGGGGGTGGTTTCCTCTCCCCAGGAGCACAACTCCCTCATCGTGGACCCCACCAACGACATCCGCATCATCGGGGTCATCACCGTGACGGTGCTGCTGGGCATCTCCCTGGCCGGCATGGAGTGGGAGGCCAAGGTAACGCTCGCTTCTCCCGCTCGCCTTATTCCCGTGGGCTGAGGAGAGCCGGGCACCCGGGGAGCAGAAGATGCCCATAGCTCCCCGAAAACAGGCGAGCGTTTCTCCTAATGAGTTTTTCACCCTCTCGGTGCCCAAACCCTCACCCCTCAGCTGGCTCTTTCTGGTCTGCCAGGCACAGATACTGTTTTTCCTGGTCATCTTGGTTTCCTTCATAAATTACCTGGTGGGGACGGTGATCCCAGCCACCGCCGAGAAGCAAGCGAAGGGTTTCTTCAGCTACCGAGGTGGGTCCACCACAGGCTGGGGTTACCCTCAACGGGTCCACACGCGTGGCTGGAGCCCGGCTCTTTGCTGCTCTTGGGGGAGAATTTTGCTACGGCAAGGGGCTCCTTGCCGAGAGATGTCACGAAAAGCGCGGCGTTGTCCTCCCGTGGGTGCCCTGCCGCCAGCAGCGTGCCTCCGTCCAGCACTGAGATGCTTCAGCCAGGAGAGAGGCGGCTGGGAGGCCCCAAATGCTTCTCCTCTGCTTCCTCCCCAGCCGACATCTTTGCCCAGAACTTCGTGCCCAGCTGGCGTGGACCCGAGGGCTCCTTCTTCGGCTTATTTTCCATTTTCTTTCCGTCGGCGACCGGCATCCTGGCCGGGGCCAACATTTCGGGTGACCTGAAGGTGGGTTTTGAGCCGGCGTTTCTCAGGTTCCCTGTTTTCCCTGGGGCTTTGGTTTTGATCCAGCTTTTAGACCCTCTTTTATTTCTTCCGGAAACTTTGGGGAAGGCTCAGCCAGGAGATGCTCTGTGGTTTTGGGTCACAGGGAATAAAAATCCCTCTTGTATAGCAGCCACAAGTAAAATGCCATTTTAGCGGGTGCTGCTGGAAAACTGTCTTACATCTCTCTGCGACTCCCTTGGGCAGGATCCCGCTGTGGCCATCCCCAAGGGCACCTTGATGGCCATTTTCTGGACCACCGTGTCTTACCTGGTGCTATCTGCTACGATCGGTAAGCGGCATGCCCTCGGGTGAGCCGCGCGGGTCCCCCCTACCCCAGAATGGGTGGCCTGGGGGGGTGCAGGTGGTGGGAGGTGGGAGCAAGCCATGGGTGCCGGCACCGGTACCCCCGTGCCGCGGGTGCCAGACCTCCCTCCTGCCCCTCCACGGGTGGCAAAGCCCTCCTGGGTGGGCAACATAGCTCGTAGCCGTCGCGCAGCGGGGTGGCCCCTCTGGCAGGGATTTGGGGGGGATGTCACAGGTGACGCGGGGCTGGGTTGCGGGAAACGGCGGAGAGATGTCGCAGGGCTGCTCGGGGGCGGGGGGTGAGCGGGCTGTGAACGGGCGCTGCCTGCATCCCCCACCCCCCACCCCCCACCCCCAACCAGGCGCCTGCGTGGTCCGGGACGCCTCGGGCAGCCTGAACGACAGCGTGCCGGTGGGCTCGCCGGGCTGCGAGGGACTGGCCTGCGGCTACGGCTGGAACTTCACCGCCTGCGCCCAGCGGCAGAGCTGCCGCTACGGGCTCAGCAACTACTACCAGGTGCTGCTGGGGGCCATCGCCCGCCCCGCTCCCCGCCGCTGCCCGGGTTTTTGTGCTGCGAGGGATGGGTTTCCCAGGGCAGCCCCATACCCGGCAGGCTGGGGGGCACCTGCGTAGCAGGGATGCACCGGGGAGCGCGTCCTCCTCCGGCTTTTGGATGCGGCTGGACTTTGCCGCCTGGATAATGTTGATGGGAAAGCACTGAGGGCAGCAGGATGGGGCCCGGGGGCTGGAAATCCCTTAGGGCCAGGGCAGAGGTTGGTGGGCTGGGGGTGCCGGCGTTCCTGACCGCCTGGTTTTCGGGCAGAGCATGAGCATGGTGTCCGGATTCGGCCCCCTCATCACGGCGGGGATCTTTGGTGCCACCCTCTCCTCGGCACTGGCCTGCCTCGTCTCAGCCCCCAAAGTCTTCCAGGTGAGGGGGCGGGTGGTGTGTCCCTGTCCCCCAGCTCCCGTCCCCGAGCCTGGCAGCGGGCGCTGCTCCCGGGGCAGAGGAGGATGCAGCCGGCGGCGAAGGCGCGAGGCCAGTTTGGCCCTCGCTCTTACGGGTGCAAGAGCCACCCGCTGCCAGCCCGTGTCCCCGGCGAAGCCCGCCGTCCCCGACGTGTCTCTCCTCGCAGTGTCTCTGCAGGGACCAGCTCTACCCTCTCATAGGCTTCTTCGGGAAGGGCTACGGGAGGAACAGCGAGCCCATCCGTGGCTACATGCTCACCTATGTCATCGCCGTCGGCTTCATCCTCATCGGTAGGTGCTCGCCACGCCGGTGCCCGCTGCCGGCCGGGTGGGGTGATCCCTCCTGCTCACAGCTCGCTCTCCTCCTCCTCCTCCTCCTCCCCACAGCCGAGCTCAATGCCATCGCCCCCATCATCTCCAACTTCTTCCTCTGCTCCTACGCCCTCATCAACTTCAGCTGCTTCCACGCCTCCGTCACCAACTCCCCAGGTGCGCCGCGCCGTGCCGTGCCGTGCCGTGCCACACCGCGCCGCGCCGCGCGGCTCCCCGTCCAGCTCCCCCTCCCGGCAGCGGCCGCTCTGTGTGTTTGCGTGCAGGCTGGCGACCCTCCTTTCGGTATTACAGCAAGTGGGCTGCCCTCTTCGGGGCCACCGTCTCAGTGGTCATCATGTTCCTGCTGACCTGGTGGGCAGCCCTCATCGCCTTCGGCATCGTCATCTTCCTCCTGGGATACGTCCTCTATAAAAAGCCGGGTGCGTGGCGGTAACCCAGCACCAGCGAGGCCCCGGGAGGTGTCTGGCCCCGTTGCTAATCCTTCTCCCCCATGTAGACGTCAACTGGGGCTCCTCCATGCAAGCCAGCTCGTACAACATGGCCCTCAGCTACTCGGTGGGGCTGAGCGAAGTGGAGGAGCACATCAAGAACTACAGGCAAGGGCGGCTCAGCGCGGTGCTGGGCACGGAGGGCGGGCGATGCAGAGCCAGCCCCCACCGCAGGAAAACCCGGGGAGGCTTCACACTCGTGGCCGCATCCTCACCACCATCCTCAGTAACCGGGAGCCCCGGGGAAAAACGCGGCTGTCTCCAAAATCCCACGTCTTTGCCATGTGGGCAGAGGTGGAAAGCAGGGCACACCTTGCCTTCCCCACACCCAGCAGACGCAGACGCGTTGGTCTCATCTGATACAAAAAGACCAAAGACTGAGGCTGGACCCTCAGCCACATGATTTTGTCTCACCCTCAAGATGCTCCCTATAGTTGCTTCTGGCCAGGCATGGGAAAAGAGACGCGGCTTGTTCCAGAGAGACTCAGTGCCCCTGCAGTACCAGCCTGTGCCCCCCTGTTTCTCTCCCTGCCTGCAGACCGCAGTGCCTGGTGCTGACCGGCCCCCCCAATTTCCGCCCGGCCCTGGTGGACTTCGTGGGGACGTTCACCAAGAACCTCAGCCTGATGCTCTGCGGCAACGTGCTGATCGTGAGTCACCTGCAAAAGCCAGTCGGTTCCTTGTCCCGGGGGCTCTGACCACCCGTGGGTGGTGGGCTGGGAAATCCAGACGCATCCTGGTGGGCTCACAGGGTGGGGATTGAAACGTGCCCCTTGACGTGCTGCCAGATGATGAAGTGTTTCCTCTGGAAGTGCTTGTTAAGCGATATTGATGAAGCACGGGGACGTCCCTGCGGGCTAATGGCTTCCCCTCGCCAATGAATTGCCCAAGCAAAGATGCGGTGGGACGAGGCGGTTGCTCAGAGGACGGGGGTGGTCCTGCAGCTCTGATGCCTTGAGGGCAGCTGGGGACTTGTAGCGCAGCAAACACCGGCTCATCCGCAGCCACGGGACCTGCTGGCACCGCGTGCGTCGGCTGTTGACTCCCCAGATCCGCTGTTTTTCTTGCTGTGACTGCAACCTCCCGTGTGCGCAGCGGTTACATCTGGGTCTGGCCAGTGATTTGGGCAGAGAAGAGCTGGAGGGCTTTGGTGGCAAGACCATCAGCAGCTGAAAGGGGGATCACCTGTGCCTGAGCCCCTGCTCCTGCACCCCCAGGGACCGCGGAAGCAGAAGATGCCGGAGTCCCGGCTGACGGCAGACGGCCACACCAAGTGGCTCGTGAAGAGGAAGATCAAGGCTTTCTACACGGATGTGGTGGCCGAGGACCTGAGAAGCGGCGTCCAAATGCTCATCCAGGTAGGGCCACCCTTGGCCATCAACCGCCAGGGTCCCTCCGCTTCCATGATGGCTGGGGGGGGCTCTGACCCCCACCTTTGCATCGCTGCCCCGCAGACTGACACCGCCCGCGTCCGTCTGTCCCTGCAGAGGGGTCTCACGGGGACATCTATCTCTAGGCTGCCGGCCTCGGGAAGATGAGACCCAACATCCTGGTGCTGGGCTACAAGAGGAACTGGCAGACGGTGCCCCCGCAGAGCCTGGAGGACTACGTGGGCATCCTGCAGTACGGCCACGCCAGCTCCGCCGCCCCCGGGGGTGCCGGCACCCGGCGGTGGCCCCGCGGTTGGGTGCGGGGACGCGGCCCCCACCCTGCGCAGGGGCTGGCCGGGCTGGCAGTGCTGCCCGACACGAGGCAGCCACCGTTAACCTTCTCCTCCCTCCTTCCAGCGACGCCTTCGATTTCAAGTACGGCGTGTGCTTAATGAGAATGAAGGACGGGCTGAATGTTTCCAGAGTGATGCAGGCTCACGGTAAGCGGTTTTGGGCAGCTGGGGATGCTCAGAGACATGCTGGGGCTGTGGGATGTGCCAGCCAGTACCGTGTCCCCAGTCCTTGGCAGGGGGACATCACGCCTGGGCTGCGGCCGAAGGGGATGGCAGGGTGCTGCCCTGCTGCCCGTGCTCCTCTTCTCCCTCCCCAGTTAACCCGACGTTCGAGGCAGCGGAGCTCCCCGAGGAGAACGGCACCGGTGGCAGAGCAGTCCCAGGCACAGGTTGGTCCCGCCTCAGGTCCGCCAGGAGCATCCCCGGCTCCGAGGAGTATTTTTAGGGAGCCAAGTCTGCGGGCAGGGGCGTGGGTTTTGAGCAGCGATGGGGAGCAGGGCTGGGACCAGGAGGAAGCGGTGCCTTTCATCCGTGCCCCTGGCCGACGCCGGGACCCTCTTGCCCCAGCAGCAGACCCTGCCGCCTTGGCCGGCGAGCAGCAGGCGAGCACCATCTTCCAGAGCGAGCAGGGCAAGAAGACCATCGACATTTACTGGCTCTTCGATGACGGAGGTAACCTTCACTTCGGGCTGCCCTGGCTCTTCGCTGTCCGGCTAACGCGAACCCGGCCCCTCCGTCGCGGCGCCCGGGGGGGCTCAGTCCTTGCCGAACGGTGCCAGGGCATCCCTGGCTGTCGGGGAAAGAGCCGGCGAGCCCACGGGGTCGTCGTGGGGTGTTTTGGGGACAGGTCTCACGCTGCTCATCCCCTACCTCCTGGGGCGCAAGAAGCGGTGGGGAAAGTGCAAAACCCGGGTGTTCGTCGGCGGGCAGATCAACAGGATGGACGAGGAGAGGAAGGCGTAAGTGCCGGCTCGTGCCCCGCAGCCCCTCTTGGCCCCGCGGCCGCCGCCGCTGTCCCCGTGGCTGGGCTGCAGGAGCTGCTTCCCCCCCTCCCCGAGCCCCCCCCCTCCCCCCGGCTTTGCCGTAACGGGACCTGCGCCGCTTTGCTTCGCTTCTCCGAAAATCGATGTGATTGTGGAGGGGTTTCTGCCAGGGCAGGTCCCTGCCGCAGCCGCCGTGCCTGCTAATTTTTGGAAAAACGTGTCTTTTTCCTCTCCGGTAGGATTGTCTCCCTGCTGAGAAAGTTTCGCCTCGGCTTCCACGAGGTCCACATCCTCCCCGACATCAACCAGAAACCCCGGCCAGAGCAGTAACCAACCCCTGCCCCCCCCCCCCCCTCCTTTCCCCCCACCCCCAGCACCCCCAAACCCACCCGGACCCCCTTCCCCGGCACCGCCTGCTTGTCTTGCAGCATCAAGAGGTTCGACGACCTGATCGCTCCCTTCAGGCTGAACGACGGCTTCAAAGACGAGGCCACGGTGAACGAGATGAGGCAGGGCTGTCCCTGGAAGATTTCTGACGAGGAGGTCGATAAAAACAGAGCTAAGGTAGCCAAGGGGGGGCGGGAGGGTTCCCGCAACAGATCTCCTGCTTCTGAGACAAGATTCAATCTTTTTGGAAACCGTGATTTTGCGTTTGTCAACACAGTCGCTCCGGCAAGTGAGGCTGAACGAGATTTTGTTGGATTACTCGCGGGACGCGGCGCTCGTAGCCATGTAGGTGCCAGCACAACACCCTCCCACCCATTTCCCACCCCGTGGAAACGGTCCCTCTGGACGTTCGCCCCCCGCCCCCCGCGCGGGGTGATCCTGGACAGCCACCCCAGCGCTGCGCTGGGACGGTGCCGCACCGCGGCGGGAGGGAGGCGGGGGGAAGGCCCTTGAAAGGCACCCAGGGGGTCCAGCCTGGGCTGGGGGGGGGGGGAGGATGTGGTGTTGCTCGTTTTTAGGGAAATAACCTGCAAATTAGCACCGGATTGAGCGAGGGGGTAAGGCCGGAGGGGGCCGCGCCGGCTGTGCTCACCCGGCCCCCCACTGCTGCCGCAGCACGCTGCCCATCGCCAGGAAGGGTCGCTGCCCCAGCTCCCTCTACATGGCCTGGCTGGAGACCCTCTCGCAGGACCTGAGACCCCCCGTCGTCCTCACCCGAGGAAACCAAGAGAACGTGCTGACCTTTTACTGCCAATAAAACCCCCCGGATCCCTGCCGACTCGGGATGTGAATTTTTCAGGCCAGTTTGGATCCCAGAGCGCGCTCGCCCCGGAGGGGCTGGGGGAGCAGCGCAGGCACGTGTTCGCCAGCTCTCAGGAAATGCCCACCACCCTCTTACAAAGGCTTGTTTTGCCAATCTCAGTTGTATATAAATACGAAATAATGCAGGTGCCACAGTGCAGGCATTGCTCTGGCCCTGGGTTTAGCTGGAGCCATGCAGGTGAGGCATGGGGGCTCATCCCCAGAGCAGCAAGTGGGACCCCTGCGGCTGCTCCCCCCGGGGAGGCCAAGTGGTGCACAGGGACTGCCCCACCATCCCACGGTGACAACTGCCCCAGGGGGATGGGAGCAGGTCAGCACCAAGCCCAGGGGCTGCAGGGACCCCGCGTGTCTGGTCAGGGATGACATCTCTGGCTGCAGCACGGGTCCGGCTCCTAACGAAAACAAAATTAACCCCCCGGCACCAGGACATTTCCTGGGCAGGAGAAACCTGCCCCATGCGAGGCAGGAGCAAGGCTCACTTCCAAAAGCACAACCCAGGCCCCCTTGTCACGCTGCAGGAGAAACACACAATTTCATTCACCTTGATCGTTACAGGATTTACTGATAATCACCACCAGGATTAGAAGCGTCAGTAGAAAAATAAAATTTACAGAGTTTTCTATCATACAAAGATTTGTTCGAGACAGCCGCAGTCGTTAGCGAGCTAGGAAGCCGGGTGGTATCTAAATCAGCCCAGCACAGAGGGTGTTTGCACACAGAAAACAGGACCGTGAGTCTCAGCTCGAGCAGTGATGTTCCTCCAGGGCAGGCGGCTTCTCCGCAAGGTGTTTCCTTCACCAAAGCTCCCGGCTGGGCTCCCTGGCCCAGGGTTCCCAGCCCTGCCCACCCCAGCAGCGACCTTTTTGCAAGCTCTTTGCAGCTTTTGGCAAGTTTCACCCAGCAAAGTCTACTGATGCCCGGCTGAAAACTGAAAGGATTCCTCTGCTGGGCTCGCCCAGGATAAGGAACAGAACGGGGAGACCAAACCGCTGCGGTGAGAGGGGAGGAAACTGCCAGCAGGGACTGAGCCGGTGCATCAGCTCAAGACTACTCCTCCTTCCCATCTGGATCTGGTTTTACTGGAGAGGGAGGTCGGGGAGGCAGGCAGGGGAGCAGAGGATGCTCTGCGAGTACTGAGGTGACACAAAGAACTCGCCCCCAGCGCTAACACCCGTCAAGACAAGCCAGCAGCTGATGGTTCACCTTTTCTGCAAGAATTCCCTGGAAATTTCACAGCGCCTGGGCACAGAGAGGCACCACCAGCTCCAAGCAGTCAACTTCCAAACAGTGGCCAAGCTGCCAACTCTTCAAGTAAAGCAGACCCCCCACCCCAAACAGACTTTGGGAGATCACAACGGGCAGAAAACAGGAGGTTTTCAGTTCATCCAGCAGCAAGTGATTTTATCAAGCATTTTTTTTTTGACTTTGTTCTGAGCTCTCAACAGCTCGGATTTGTGTCCTGCATGCCTCATTACTGCCGAGGAACCAGCCTTGTGCCGTAGCATGTGGCACACTGATAAAGTGCTTTCCCAATTGCAATCAGCATAGTCCTTGCTACCGAGGGATGCCAGGCACTGGGGCAGGGGAAAGGGGAGCACAGCACATGCCCAGACACTTTTTTCTAGCGTCACCTGAAAGGTAAGGCCAGACCTGCCCAGAGACTTTGAATCCATCCAGGAAAATGCAGGATAATTCCTGTGAACTAGACCAGGCACACTGGACACGCACCATGTATGCAGCCATTTGGAATAAGAAGTAGGAAGGGAGAAAGACAACTAGAGAGCTCATTATTTCTGCTTTTCAGTGGGGGCAGAAGCAAAGAGGGAAGGAGAGGCCCAACATTCCCCCGGGGGATGCCGCGGTAGGAAGACCAGCTCTCTACAAGCAGCACAGCACACGGCGCACTCTAAAGATCCACGGTTCAGTATAGGTTATACTGCCTGGACCTCACCCACCTACGGAGAAGGATTCATATTAAAGTCTTTCCTAAAATGCACAGCTTTATACCCTGGATTAACATGGGCTAAAAACGTAGAATAATCTCAGTAAGTCGCTCCTGCAAAACACCTCTCTCCATCAGCTGTCAACAGACCACTCCGGATAAATTAGTACATAGAGAGAAATTTGTTTTCGTGATAAACACAGGGCTCTGTTGAGGGTTGTTTCAGCATAGAGGACAGGGGGTTCATGGACGATAGCTGGCCTTATGAACTGCTGCAGGTACAAAAGGCGAGCTGGTTTGGAAAACCAGAGTTCAGCAAAACCACAGGTGGAACGTGTGTCCTGGGAGGCTGGAGACAGTTAGTGCCTTCCCTGGGCAGCCCACTCGAGTGTCAGCTGGTAATAATCCAGGACCACAGCAAATCCACGGGGCTGGCTACGCCACCCAGCCACATCCTTGGGATTCAGCCTCAGCTTCCCCAAAAAAAACAAGCCCCCTGAAAGCACCCAGCTAGCTCCCTGAGAGCCCCCAGCCACGCGGCATGCCTAAGAATTAGTTAAAAGTCACTTAAAACAAAACACACTAGAACAATTCATTAGAGGAGAGCATACACCTGCTGGTAAGGGTTGGTTCGGGGCTGTGTTCACATGGCTGATCCCTGAGGGATGCAGGAATCACCCAGGCTCTTCCCGGGACCCTCGCACCCATCCCACCCGTGGCACACTGCGGGCTGGCTGCCGAAAACGTGGCGTGCTCCCCACCTCTGGGGAAGCCCTGAGTCACCACAGCCCGGTGCCAGCCGTGCAGTTCTCACCGGAGCAGTCACCCAAGCAGCGGCGTGCTGAATTTTTATATAAGCTGGCCGGTGACGTTTACGTGTCAGCGAAGACGCCCAATCCCGCCACACCAATGTAAACATGATCAGCAAGTAAAAGGAGAACGGAGGAGCTTAAAAAAAAAAAAAAAGAGTCTCCTTCAGAGCCTCAGAAGGAACAGCGCACGCTGGCGCAGGTGCCCTGGGGTTTCTAGCGTGGGCAGTGGGGCGTAGCGCCTGCTCAGCGGTGCGTGGCCTCTCGGGTAGAAGGTACACAGTGCCAGAAGAGCTTCACCATAATAAAATTTGTAAAAACAGCAATCCTTTTTACAGCAGTTATGTCTCCTGTGGCAGCATTCATAGTCACAGCTCTTGGCCACAGATTTGCACTTTCATCTGGCTAAAATGATTTTTCCTTTTACTGCTCCCAAATTCACTCTGACCAAGACCTGGTATGAGGAAGCTGGGGCCAGGAAGAAAACAAATTCATTTTCTCATTTTAAAAGTTCACATTAAAAGAGCTTCAGGGTCACTGCGAACAAAGCAGCAAGAGGTCAAAGCATTAAGTGAGCTCTGAAGACACCGCATCACTCTGTAGTACTGTTTCTACCCCAGAAGAGCAGGTGTCACATTTTAGTTGCATCCTGTTGCTACAATTCATCACTGGTAAAAGGTTCCTGGGCCGCCTCCTCTGGAATCCATTTTCCTATCCTCCAGAGAAATAAAGCTTCACTTGGCACTTAATGTTACCAAAAAGTAACAAAATTCACAATTTTTAGCTTAATTTCAAGCCAGGTTGGAGGTAGGAGCAGGCCTTCGTGTAGCCTTTAACCAGTGGAGGATGCACACGCCGAGGCATACCTCGAGCTGTGCTCCCTGGGGATTTGTTTCGGAGCCGGCACGGGCCACAGATCCTCTGCCCTTCCTTTGATTTGTGATCTCTGGCGTCTGAAGAAGAGCTAAAGAGTGGCTAAAATCCGTAGAAACGAAACCACCACCACGCAGAACGTCTGGCCCACTCCTAAAATGAGGGCTTCAAAGGGAATCATTTTTTTCCCTGCAGCTCTGTAAACCCCAGCAATGGCAGCACCTGTGGAGAGGGGAAAAAGCCGGAATATGAACGGGTGGCAGTGCATGGGAGACACGCTGCTGTACCGCAGGGACGAAGGGGGAAGTCTTGGGGGATGTGAGAGTGGGGCAGAGAACTGGGGGGTCTGCGGGAGGGGGCCCGGAGTCCCTGAGCACTGGCTGGCAGAAACACCAGGCTGGATTTACCATCACAAACCTCAGCCAGTAGCCAACACATGCTGGTGGCAGCGGGTAAATTGGTGGTGAAGCTCTGCTGAGGCCTCCGGGCGTGGAGGTTGGCGCAGTTTTGGCCATACTCTCGTCACCAGACCCTCTACGCCCCGGCCCATGCGCCGCAAATGTCACCCAGCACTGGGCTGAGACACCAAACCTGCAAATGTTTTATCTCCGAGTGCTCGGAAAGCTGAATGCCCAGCTGCCTCTGCACCCCGCGGGCACGGTGGGGACCCCCAAAGAATGGCTTGAGAGGCGGGGACGGCCCGAGCCTTTCAAACGCAGGGTAAGGGGGGAAAACAGCCCAAACACTCGTCTCCCCTTTACCCCGGGGAACGTTGCGGCTCAACGCTGCCGAAGGCGAGCCCTGCTCGCTGCAGAGCCCCCCAGACGGTGTTTTCAAGCATCTACCGTACTTGTTAGAATGCCGGCGGTAATGGGTCCCACGATGCCCATCAGCAGGAGGCTCACGGACATGAACCTGCCGTACTTGTGGTGCCTGAGCGTGAAGAGCGCTAGCAGAGCAGCCGGGACGTGGAAGGAGAGGGAGGAGACGAGGGCCCACAGGAAGACGCCGTACCACATCTCTGTGGAGAGAAGGGCCGTGAGGCGGGCTGGGGGCCCGCAGGCCCCGGCGGAGGCGGCGGGAGGGCCCCGCAGCCCAGACGGTACCTGGGAAGGTGGAAAGCGGGCTGGAGTAAGTGGTGGTGCCGTTACCAACGCGGGGCACCAAGCGGAGGCTGAGGATCTGCTGCAGGAGCCCCCCGCCGCCACCGCCGCCCGCCTCGCTGCCCTCCATCCCCGCCCTACCGCCGCCATCCGCCGGCCGCCCATCCGCCGGCCGCCCTTCCGCCCGCCTCCTTCCGCCCGCTCCAGCCAATGGAAAACGCCGCACGCTGACAGGCAGAGCTCCCCGCCAACCCGCCCCCTCCCTCCCGCGCTGCCATGGGAACGGCTGTCGGCCGCAAAGAATGCCGGGACCTCCCCGGCACCGGAAGCCCCGCTATTGGTGGGGCGCTCTAGCCCTGTGGAGGGTCGCTCGTCGCTGCTCCCCGTTGCTCGGCGCCGCCTCGGAGGCGCAGCCACCGCTCCACACCACTAGGGGGCGCCCGGGGCTGGCGGCGACGCTCTGGGCGGCGGCGGGCGCGCGTGAGGAGGCGGACGCGGCAGGCGGCGGAGGTGGCAGCGGCGGGGTCGGTACCGGCACCGGCACCATGTCGGGCTCGGAGGAGTACTCTTCGGCCGAAGACGAGGACTACGTGCCCTCAGGTGAGCGATGGCGCGGTGTGCCCGGGCGTGGCGGCGGCCCCCGCGCTCCCGGCGCTCACCGGGTGTGCTTGCAGGGGCGGAGTACAGCGAGGACGACGTGAGTGAGCTGGTGCGGGAGGAGGAGGAGGAGGCGGCGGACAGCCCGCGGCCGCCCCGCGGCAGGAGGAGCCCCCGCCGCCCCGCCAGCAGGTACGGCCGTGGGCGGAGCCGCTCCCGGGGCCGCACAGACGCGGGGTTGCCCGGGTGGGAGAGTCCCGGGTGGGAGAATCCCGGGTGGGAGAAGCCGTGGGAGCCCTGCCCGGCCGGGAGCCGCCTCCGCCGGGCGCAGCGCTGCGGGGCCGGGGAGCAGCGAGAAAGGCTTTTCGTCGTTCCGGTTTAACGTCAGAGGCAGAGACCCTCGGGCTTGAAAGGCACCGCGCCTGAAAACCCTCCCCGGGAGCTGGTTATTTTCCTTTCCATAAGCCTTTTTAAGCGCAAAGCACTCTTTGGAGGGCAGAAAACCCCCCTATATACACACCTTATTTACGGTTGGTTCCGATCCAGCCCGAGTTCTCCTCCTCTCTGCAGTATCCCAGAGTCCATTCTGAACTTACAGACACACTCACACACGTGCCAGCCCCCTTCGCGGCACTGCCTGCTTCGGTCTTCCTGTGTTTTCTGAGCAGCAGCATCTTTAATTAAGCAGCTTCACCCCCGAGGTTCTTAGCAAGAGACTGAAGTGCTGCGTTGCTTCACCCATGTTTACTCTTCAGCTCTGGAATAGTGTTGCAGGACCTCAGTATATTATTTTTCTTTCTGGCATCTGCTTCCAGGAAGAGGAAGAAAGGAGGTCTCTTGCTAGAGCCAGATGAGAAAGAGGAAGAAAAAACTCAGCAGAATGAAGAGGAGGAGGAGGAAGAGGAAGTGGATACTGTAGAGCAGATGGAAAGAAACAGAGAAGAAGAAGAAAAAAAGAAAGAGGATGCTCTTTGGGCCAGTTTCCTTAGTGATGTGGGACAGAAGCCCAAAACGGGGGCTGCCACGCAAGTGACACAAGCTAAGAAGGTAATGGGGGCCTGAGCCTTCACCCAGGGAGCGTGGGAAGGGCCTGAAGCTTTAGAGCACACAGCGTTGGTTCTAGCTGGTACCAGATGGCAGTCAGAGCTGGGAAGAGGCTGGGTTTACCCCTGCCGCCTCTGCTTTGTAAGCCTGGAGCCCCCCAAGCACAGGGCAACCTGTAAACTGGTTTCTTTCCAGCTTGGGGAGGTCTGTGATCTGGCAGCGCTGCTTTTGGAGCTGCTTGTCAGCACCTCAGGGTGTCCCACAGACCCTGCTTGCCTCCCCTGCCTGGTCCTGGATACTCCTCGTGGCATTGGAGCAGCACAATGGACTTTGGTCTGGGTTGTGCTTGTGGGCACAGTTTTTCCCCCAAGGCTTGTGCCTTTCCTGATGCTCAAAAAAAAGGGAGACTCTGTCAGTGGGGAAACAGAAGAGATCTGTGCTGACATCTGTGTCTTTGCCTTTCATCCTCGTACAGTGAAGGGATCTGGAAGATGCTGTATGTTGGGGTGGATGTTTGTAACAGGAATGAATCTAGCTTTCTCTAGTTTCCTTTATAAGACCCATTAACATGCTCTCGCTCGCTCTCTGCAGAGGTTTTCTGTAGAGAGAAGTCTGTGTGTCACCAGCTATTTAGAAGGATTTGGTTCTTAAAATCAAATGCATGTATTTGCCTTGCAAAACCTTTCACACTGAAGGTGGTAAACGTGAAGAAGGTGCCAAAACTGATCTTCTGTTGCTAGAATTGACTTTTTTTTTTTTTGAATGGTCAGCCAAAAAAGCATTGTATAACAGAAGTCTGGACTCTTGAGTCAGTAATGCCTGGCGAGTACAATCTCCTCACTGTGTGAAGCTTCTTTCTACGACTGTTGGAAGGCTGCAGAACAAGGGTAGTTGTGAAATCTTTACTTGCAACTTTTAGAAGAGTAGTCCTTTCATCTGAACCCTGCTGCTTCTCTCCACCTCAGCAGTTACTGGCTGAACAGCTGAGATGGTTACAGGTAGAATTAGAGAGAAGAAAAGTTATTTTTTGAGCAATTCTGCTCTTATGGGTGGATTGCTAAAACGTGAGTGGTCTTTGAAAGTTCTTCTCTAGCCTAGAATAATGTATGGAGAGATACAGTTCCTCTGTTCTCTTTGTGAACTTCTTGATTTAGACTTGTCTGCTCGAAGGTATCTGCGCTGTGTCGTTGCTTCAGAGCAAGAATTTTGGAATTTGTTTTGATTATTTACAGGGTCTGAGGTTTTTTTAAGTATGCTGTTAAAAGCTGTAGTTGTGACTGAATAAATTAAGAGGCGTTGTTGACAAAGTGCTTAATAAAGATATTTCCCTCCCAAATAAAAGAGATGTTATTCACAAGTAGCTTCATATCTTCAGGGTTCTCTGTGGAGATCAGCCTTGCTTTTCCTGCTGATGGGTTATGTTCTTTTATATTCTTGAGTAAAAATAAACCTATTTCTCTGCAATTCACCTTGGCAGCTTTACTGCCTGGTGGTGCTTAGTTTGGGAGAACTGAGTTCAGGCTTTTGCTTGCTTTCTGAACCACAGCAGTGTGTTCTTGCTCCTTCTTCCATTTAATTACAATTTCACTTCTCATTTTGGGTCTGTTTTGATCTTTGAGCTCCAATGAGAGTCTGGAACCAAAGTGGGGAATTCCCTTCTGGTGGCAGGGGCATTTGTTTCCCTTTTCTTGTCTGTGGGTGCCTTGCTTTGACCACCCAGCCTAAATTGCAGTGTTACCTGAGGGCTGCGTCGGGTCCTTGGCCCCTTGGAGTGATAATTTGCCTTGGCTTCACGAACGTATTGTTTTGCTTTCTCCTTCATGTGTTTTGCAGGCTGAAGAAGAGAAGAATGGGAAGAAGCCTCAGGAGAAACCAAAAGATTCAGGAAAAGTGACAATCACCAAAGTGTTCGATTTTGCTGGTGAAGAAGTCAGGTAAGCTGGCAGATGTGATGTATCTACTGCGGGCTTAGGGCAAGCTGGGTGCTCCTCTTCTGCTGGCAGGCTGGAGGTGTCCTGTGAAGCACAGTGTATCTTCTTTTTCCTTTACACTTTTTTTGATCGTGAGCGCATCCAGACCTCAAGGAAAATGAGACCAAGGTTTTTTTGCCTGAGGGCAGCAGAGTATCTTTATTTTTTTTTTTTTGCTCAACTTCAAAATATGCCTGTAAATTCACTTAGACTTCCCCACCTGGACAGTGTTTAAAATGGTTGGCAAAGCTTCCTGGTGGCACTGCCACTGTGAGGGTTGAGGCAAGGAGAGAACTGCATATGGCCTCACTGGGATGACAGTAATGCATTTTATTCCTTCAGTCTAGTCCAAGCCCTGTTCTAGGGGCAGGATATTTGCTGGCACTCTGCCTGGTGATGTTCAAAATCCACTACAAAGATCTGCAAACAGTAAGAGGTGTTTTGCAGAATGGACTAATAGCCTCTTTTTTTTTTTTTTTTTTTTTTTTTTTTACCTCTTACCTCTGAAACATCTGCAGTGAGCTAGGTAAGATCATCCTTTAAGCTGAGTTTGGCTTGCAAGATGCCTCTCGGGATGCACTGCAAAAAGGGGCAGGCTCTTTATAACCCACTTGAAATCTGAATGCGCTGTGACCTTGTGGTTATTACCATGGTGTATTTTTTTTTTCATCCGTAGCTGTAAACCTGGTTTTGTCGGCTGAGAATTTCGCCCGTATTTTGTGTGACAGCAGAGGGCAGCAGTTCCCAGCAATAACACCCACGCTGCCTAAATCTGGAGGAGGAAGCAGAGAGCAGGGGCTTCCGCTGCTCTTGCTTTTCGTGTCAGCACTGCTACCTGAGCTGTTTGAAAAAATCTGAGGAGGGCCAAGAGTGATAGTAGCGACTTTCCTATTTCCCGGTGCAGTGGGGGTGTAGGAATACCCTTCATTCACTGGCGAAATGGCAAAGGGCTACCATTGCAGCTTTTCTGAGACGGAGTATTCAAGAGGAAAGGCTAAGTCTTTCCTGTGGACAGCTAAAAATCTGTAGCATAATTACAGACAGAAGTTTTGTCTTCTGATGCACGCTCCACTCCTCAGCCACCAGCTTGTTTGTCCCCGATTATCCTGGTTTTTTTTGTTGTTGTTGTTGTTGTTGTTGTTTTTTTGTTTGTTTGTTTGTTTGTTTGTTTTTTGTTTTTTTCTGGTTCAAACGTGATGTCCTACCAGGTGAGAATAGCTGAAGCTGTAGGATCGCAGGGCTGTCATACAAAAGCCTTGCTGGCTTCTGACACATCATCAGATGGCACACGGCAGAATCGCGTTCCTGGCACTTTGCAGTTGCATGAAATCAGCATGCAATCTTATTTGGAGCCTGGACGTGTCCATCTGTGTGGTGTGAGTGTCATGTCCTAACATGAGCATAGAAATCTATCGCTTAAAGGAGGGGGTTGATTCACAGGGAAACGTGCCTTGTAGGCTCAGAACATGAGTCTTCCACTTGTGGAAAGGAATTTTTTTGTGCAACTTTTGTGAAGTATAGGACCCTTTAAAGTAGGGAGCTAGTAAAAGC